ACTGCAACTCACTGTCGCCTGCGGTTAGCCTGGAGTAGAGAGCATGCATTGGTGACCACCGCAACAGTGGGCTTGTGTGATGTTTTCCGACGAGTCCAGGTTTAGCTTGCAGTCTGATTCTCGCCGGACTTTCATATGGAGAGCTCCAGGTACCCGTTACCACCAAGAAAACATCATTGAACGACACCGTTACGGTGGTGCAGGAGTGCTCGTTTGGGGTGGAATTATTCTGGGTTCCAGAACTGACCTGCATGTTCAAATTGGAACCATGACAAGCCAAATCTATCGGGACGTCATTCTGGAACAACATGTACGTTTGTTTCGGAGAGCCATGGGCGCACAATTTCTGTTTATGGATGACAACGCCCGTTTCACCGTGCAAACATCGTAAGCGAATGCCTTCAATCGGAGGATATCACCCATATGGACTGGTCAGCATTCTCAGCGGACTTGAATCCAGTAGAGCACGTGTGGAACATGCTTGGCCGACGAGTTCCAGCCCATCAACCTTCTCCTACATGTCTACCTGAACTTCGGAGAGCATTGCTTTTTGAGTGGTGTAATATCTCCCAAAATCAGATCGATAATTTGATACTCAGCATGCCTAGGCGTTGTACGGACTGTATTGCATCGTCTGGGAGACATACAATGTATTAACAATCATACCAACCATGTAATATTGTTTTTTTGTTTGTTTGCTTTTGTAATTTGCTCCAGGGAGAAAAAATCGCTATTTTTTTTAATATCAAACATATAGCATCTTTTTTCACTCTTTATCTTTTGTTTAATAAATAAGCTTTACAAATAAGTCAAACTTGTTTTGCTTCTAACTCTTTCTTTGCCTGATTTTGCATTATCCTTAATTTATGGACATGAGTGTACAAATTTATACTTATATATATAACTTTTAAAGCTGGGACACGACCCAAATTAATCAACATCCTGTTTGCTTGCATTGTGAAAATAAACACTAAACGAACTTTCTCAGTTTTAGACAATTCGATTTAAATGGAGTTAAAGTAAAGTAACAGACGATAACACAACGAAGGTAAAAATTTACTCTTACAAATAATAGTTTTTCATATAGTATTAATAAATATTTATAAGTATCATTGAAGAAAAAGATTTCATATAATTAATTCTCTGTAAAAATTTACTAGAAATTTAAGGTTAAAAATAGCCGTGGTAATTAATTTAACAAAAATCCATAAACCACATTTGGCGTTATTATCGCTCAAAAAAATGATGCCAAGTTTCAAAACGCGAAAATATGTAAATTCGTGTATATCTTAGAAAATTTTGAATAAAAGAGTCTAATTTTTTGAAGGTATGCTTAGAAATACACCTACTTTAAGATAATGGTAAAAATTTTATAGGCTATAATTCAAAATTTTTTTCGAAAAATTTATATAAATTATTTAAAAATAGAAATTTTAAAAATAAATCATAAAAAAACAGGTGAATTTTATTTGGAATGAACCTAAATTTCGAAATGTGAAAGGAAGAAAAAGAAAAAGTTTAATAAAAAAAGAGATATTAATAAATATATACCAAATTCAATTAACATTAAGAAGTTAAAATTTTTAGAGCTAATATTTTAAAAACTACTCATGCAAATTTTACAAAACTTAGCAGCCTGGCGTAATTTGAGTCGTAGAATCGAAATAAGTAAAAAAAAAAATTGGTATGTTATTTCAGAAAAAGTCCAATTTTTGTGTCAAAATACCTATGTTAGAATATATAAATCTAATGTATATCGTTAAGTCGCGCTTTCGAGACATGAAAAACGCAAGCTGAATTTCGTCAATCGGCCCAGTAGAACGGGAGATATAGAACTGTCCCCCTCTTTTTTTGTGCAGTGTACATGTATTGCTGTTACATTGTTTATGACTGTTATTTTATTTAGAAATACTGTATATTATGTTTATGCATATAGCACTGTAATGTTTAAACTGTAAAGCTTCAGTGCCTGCAATGTTTAAATTGTGAAGCCTCAGTCTCTATCATATGTAAAAAATGAAACTTACTAGTTGTAAGATAATGTCCTTGTACTGCAATATACCATAATAAAATTCTAATGAACTCCTGGTACATTTGGGGGTTCTGGGAGAGTATTACCTCTGAATAAGGAAAGATGAAGAACAAATACTTTATCTTACAAAGGTTCTGATTTATCAAATCAGGACAAATATCTGATTTGATACTTTTGTCTTCTCAAAGTACCTGATTACCTATGTTAAATACCAGGTATCCTCATCTTCTCCCAGCTGTCACCTGTCCATCAGGACATTGTTGCCTGTGATGTTGACTATGTTGACATCTTCATAAAATCACTGTCCTATGCAGCTATCAACTAAATGGTGTTAATTAAGCTTAGAACCAGGCCTAATCAAGAACATAATCTGCAAACTGAACAGAAACCCCACTGAAACTTTAAGGATTCTCATCACCAAAATCAATGCTAGTGCTACAGTTGGGCATGATATGCCTGCTATCCACCAAAATTCCCACAAGTTATTCTATTGTGTCTAACAAGCCCACATTATGGTTGGCAGTTGCTCTTTTGAGCAACTAATGTAAATCTCCATTATTAAAGTTTCTTCTCCTAAGTTCCATTTCATGTATCATGTTTCATTTACTCTGCTCATGTTTAAGAATTTCACACTAAGATGATTTGTATGGGTGAAAAAAATTTTCTTTCTTTCTTTCTTTCTTTTTTTTCTTCTTCTTGTGTGTGTGCATGTGTGTGTGTGTGCGTGTGTGTATGTGTGTGTGTTTAACAATCTCTTAAAGTTTTGGCAATTCTTGTTTAAATATCCTACAAGCAGATAGATGCAATGTAATAATTTATAATGGTGCTGACATGAGGATGAAGCATTTTTCTTCAATAATATGCAAGCTGAGATAATTTCACAGATCATCATTATTTAGACACAGCTGGCAGCAATATAAAAACAATAAAGTACTGCAAATGCTGAGACTGAACATATTATAACGGGAACATAATGTATCTATTCCAAGGATAAAATTTTGAATGTGGAAACATCTAAAGATGGGATACAAAAGTTGCATTTTCACCTCCTATCAGCTTGTACTCCATAAGGAACCATCGCTCATTAACAATGCCTCTAGAAGATTCTTTTTATCATCTTTCAAATGAGGAAATTTTGCCTCTTTGAAGTTCACTGCAGACAAAGAACTCTAAAAATAGTGTCTGTTATAGGAAAATTTCGGTTATAGGAAAAATTCTTTTAATAAAGCACTATGTACCAATATGTTTATTGGATGAAATACAAAAAGCTTTGATAAGTACAAGTTAGAATAGTCTGGCCCTGAATAATCAGTCCTTTGCAAATCTGAGTTTTGCAAATCAAGTGGCAGAGGTGAGTTAAATAAACGGCAGTTTTTCTATTCATTAGTATGTATTCGTTTTGTTTCCAGGAAATTTGAACACAATAAGCGTCTGAGTTTAATAAGCAGCAGGCACTGTATACACACATACATATAAAAATACAGTAGTTGATATTACAATAAAGCACTTGAAATGCATACAAATGTCATCAGTTCTGTGCATTATCAATCAAAAACAGGCAGTTCATTACATTAAAATATTAAATGCCTAGAGATAGGAATTTCCCCCCTTCCTTATAAGTTTTCTCATCATGCCAGTGACTAGTGAGAGGTCACTTAATGCTGATAATTCAAAACCAGATGAAAGAGTTGGCTGCAATGAGTGTTTCTCATAGTTTTTCTCAACATAAAAAAAAAAGACAATTCACTTTATAAAGTCATCCATGCAGACATCCCTCCTCTTTGGCAGATAGCCTTCATGTGATTTGTCATAATCACATAACATAATCTAACCTTACTAGATTCCTTATGGATAGTAAATGGAGCATTACTATAACAACTGTTCTTCTGTTGCTTTATGGTTTTTTTTTTTTTTTTTTTTTTTTTTCTTTTTTCTTTCTTTCTTTCTTTTTTTATTTTTTATTTTTAAGGATTGTTTCTGCTTTATTTAAATTCTTTTCTTTTGTATTATTTATTTTCAGAATTACTACCATGGGAAATCTAAAGTGTTTTTTAGCTTTTAACATTTCACTTATATATGCAAAATGGATATTGAGATTAATTTACTCATATTATAAGTAAGAAATCAGTTATATAAAGAATTAAACATTTATTTATAGTTTTAAATATATAGAGTATTCATTTATTTTTATTAACCAGTTATTTTATGTTAATTAGCTTTTCTGGCTTTCTCCCTTTCCATTTTCCTGCCAGAATACTAATTTCTAGTTCGTGCATATTCAGATGAGATAGAAAGAGAAAGTATTTAAAGGAAGGTAGAATCAGAGCATGTTTTGCTTGCTGAAAAGCCGTTACCAGTTGATTCTCTTAAGAGCAGTTTATCTGCGGCACTGCGTTATTCTCGCCATTCGGCTTGTCATGCCAAGTTTAAGTCTGAGCCAATTTGCACGCATTTTATCTGCGTAGCCTTTGGGCTAATGTACAATTTACTTAGTTAATTTAAATTCATTACCTTTTATTTACACCATAAATGTTGGCTGGTTCTGTAAGATTGAGTAGCGCTTTCTGTTAATGTTTATCTGAGTTAAATAAAAGGGTTCTTAACAACCATCCCAAGTCTCTTGTAATTTTGAAGACATAGCGATAAATCGCTTATGTCTTTCTAGGGTTCTCATCTAGTTTAGGTTATTAAAAAGAATGTACATGTTTAAAAAGAGTCTAGTTATGTATATAAAAAAAAATAATATTTGTTGCTAGTAATGGCTGTGATAATTATGAAAACTATGTAACCTAACTAGAAAACATAATTAAGACCCTCAGTTTTTTGCAGTTTTGAGACACTATAAGTATATACCATTCATTTATATCAAGCTGAAATGAAAATTAATAAAATGAGAAAACAAACAAATAGAATGTCTTCAATTACTGAGACAATTCGCATTTGTATATAAATACATTTTATTACTCACTTGACGATGTGTTGCTTCCAGAAGAGTGTCTAAGTTGTTTAATGGAGTTGGAGTGCTATCTTTCAATTTAGTCAGAAGCCTTTTCTGAACGACACGAAACTGCAAAGATCTATGAGCAATCAATTCTTCAACTTCCTGAATTACCTGGCGGTTCTGTAGTAAATGTTATGAATAAATGCATAATATTTACTTTATATACAATATGTAACATTTAAAATCAATCATGTTGAATTAATTATGAAAAAAAAAAGCATTTGTGTCATTTCAAAGATTTTATAATTCTAAGATCTAAATCAGTATTTGTCATTTCATGGTCCACAGACCACAAGTGGTACTTGAAGCCTGCCCTTGTGATCCTCCTAGATTTCAAAAAAGATAAAATTCAAATTAATTGTGTACATTACACTATAGCTGAAAATTTGAAGTTTGGAAATAACACATAGGATTGTCTGTCACTCTTTCTCCCAAGATTACCATTTTATAAAATTTATTACTGGTTACATGACTTACAAACTCCCCATTCTAGTTTTAGCCACAAAAGAAAAATTTAAAGTACTGTACTGCAGTTTACACAGTACTGCACTGTACTAAAGTTTCTTACCAATTCATATTCAAACAGAAATGTTATGCAAGAATTGGCAAGCTCACCCATCTCATTAATGGAAGTACCAAACTTTATTTAATTTTTAGTTAATAAGATAAAGATTATCCGAATTGTAATAGACTTAAATTATTAAAAACAAATATATATTTTCTTCTAAAAACTTACTACTAATATAACTTAATACCAAATATAACTTAATCAATCAAAGTGGTTTGCAGTTCAAATTTATACTCCGCCCCCCTAAAAATTTTGAGAAGGGTTTATCTAATTAAAATCTACATTTTATACAATGAGGGAAAAATAAAAAATTGGCTTAATAACATTCAGACTGAGGGAAAATATAATTACTATTTTTTCCATTATTTAATTCCCCCCCGGACATTGGATGGACATGCTAGTTAAGTATTAATACGGAATAACCACACCCATCAATGATTTAACTATCTCATTACTGAGAAAATTGGTTATCCAGGGTGTATCAACAGACAGCAACTGCATTACACCCACAAGAAATGGGAAGAAATGTCTGATGAAGAATACCCAGGAGTATGAATCTGAGGCCTCCTATTCACTTTTTCTACTAGCAATCTCTCAAGAGGACATCTTAAAACACACAGCAATCTTGTATGCCTAAGACTATTTCTTTTAAAAGCTAGAAGGAAGAGGCATGGTAATTGTAGTTAAGAATTAAAGTATAACATTTTTGCTTTTGGATTCAAATACTGAAAAAATATTTGTATAGTTATTTTTCAATGTTATTATAGACAGATGATGGTTATAAATTACAGAAAGTAAACATATTTATATCCATGGTATTATACAACAGTTGAATCGAATCATTTTCATCCATCAAAATATAAACAAAATGAAATAAAAAAGATGAAACTGTAGTCATCAAATATCAAGTATATTTATAAAATGTTTTCAAGTCAGGATTGGGATTCCATGAACATAAAAGGAGTATAAAGAGACAGACGAGAAACACAAACAAGCAGCCAGTGACATTGATAAAGCAGACAAAAAAGCTGGACTGCTCTAGAAGGCATATTTATGGAAGCAACATTTTCACATGAGACACAATTTTAGGTGGATTAATCGGTTCAGCAAAAGCACAACTGACATATTTGCCTAACAGAAGGAATGGATTTGTGGAGGATTTTTTTAAAAGGAACTGCTCTTGTTGACCATGAGAAAACAGTGAAGACACACATGCAGCCAGGCTATTCTCCAGGATCTGAATCTAGGTCAAACTACTAATAACAGCACGCTCAAGGGGGATTGAAAGAAGATATTAATGATAAGTGAAGAATATTAGATGATTTGGCTTATGAAACTGAAATGAAGAAAGAAATAATTTTTACTCTGGACAGAGTATTCAAAGATATCACAATGTCTTCCTGGAAGAATTACTCATTGAAAGAGAAACAGTTTAGGATAGTTCTATTTTTGTTACTGCTAGGGAAGACAAAAGAGAGATGGTCACTTCGACCTTTTGCTGCTTATTTTAAAATACAGTCACCAGAATGCAATTTGAAATACTGTAATACTACTGTGCATTTTTTTCACATTTTCTGTAAGTGTTACTTACTGAGAGAGGAGTGTTTCTAATTAAAAATTTATTTAAAGACCTATAAATTAGTACCTTTCATTTAAGAAATCTTTCTACACTATTTCAAGAATAACAACTAAAATTATGAAAACAGATTCCTATAATGCTATTGATGATTTTGTTAACAGGGAAGCAACGGGAATAGCATTTAAGAAAGCTGAAATAAAAATTTTTCTTCAAAAGTAAACATATAACTTTAATTTCTTTTGTGATATATCATTTTAACATTTTACAGTTCTCTGGCATGAGTTTCAAGAAGCAGCAAACATAAGGGCAGATACGGGCAGCAAAAATTCTGGCTACACTGCAACAAATAACATGCACAGTTACTCCAATTACAGAAACCGTAGGTACAAAGCATAAAATGAAGTTACATAAGCTATAGCATTTGAAGGAACAGATAACTGAATTTATTACTGACACAGAGCTCACTAATTGTAAACTGCTTGATAGCAGCAGCATTTTAAAAATGAACATACCATGAAATGATCTTCAATAACTTTAAAATATTCTTGTAAAGGAAGAGGCATGGTAAAACTGCACTTCAGTTTTTCATTATCTGCTTCTTTTCTATACTTATGCTGCAGCCTTCGAATTAGTTCTGATACAGCTAACCACAAGGCAGGTAACACATCACTTTGCAATCGATAACGCTCTGAAAACAATGACATCAATTCTAAGCATTGTACTTTTACACAAATGCTTCCTTTTATAAATTTTCTTTATTCTAAACACTGCCAAAAAAAAAAAAGCAAAAAAAAAAAAAAAAAAAAAAAAAATTGCAGAATACTTTTAAAATGTAAAAGGATATTTAATAAAAATAATTGTAAAAATTAAAATTCTCTTATAATCTAAATTTTATATAACATTAATTGATACTTGCATGCAAAATGTCCCTTTGAAATAATTTAAATCCTTACATTTATGGCACAAGGAAAAATGTTACTCACGAGCTGTTTTAGATGGGATTATGGAGACCATGTGTCCAGAATAATATTCAATACCTAAAGCACCTCCATGGTATGAAACACCATTTGTAATTAGATCTTTAAAGAGAAAGTACAGAATAAGATAATAAAATAACATTACTTTAAAACATGTCTTACAATTAATGCTAAGTGAAAATGAAGCAAACAGTATTTTTTTTTAAATTTAAAAATACACGAAAAACATGTATTACTTTTTATGTATTTTTAGAATTACTTTTATTCAGTTTAATATGCAAAATCCTACTTATAAGATTTTTAGTGATAAACTTAAAACTTTTGAAAAGTGAACTGAAGTTTCTTTAGCAAAAATTGAAAAATGATTAATTTTTAACTAAGAGGATTTTAAGCCCCTTGTAAACAGGCAAAAGCTTTTAAAGCCTATTTTATTATATTACTAATATGATGCTTAAATCTTTAAAAAAAGTTTAATTGTTATTTTTTAACTAAGAGTATTTTAAGCCTCTTGTAAATAGGTAAAATCGTTTAAAGTATATGTTATGTTACTAATATGATGCTTAAGCTTTTTTTAAAAATAATCTTGCTCCTCTAGCATTATTATATCAAATCAATGCTTTTTAAAATTTTTTAATTCTAGACTTAATTCTAGAGTTAAAATAAAAGGGAAAAAAAGCAAGATTATAGAAGTTGAGCATGAAAGCTACTAACAAACTTAAGAAGCACACAAAAAAATCAGAAAACACCATTTTATTTCAGTAGGAATAAATAATCTCCAAAGTAATTCTGAGTCAATAGGAACCTTCATGCACAAAAAACTGTAGTGTAAAAATAATCAGTACTAAATTGTTAAAATTGTATAAGTTAACTTTAGCTGTTTTGCATGATAATTTATATCTTTAGATATGCCTGTATTTGTGTGAACACAGCTTGCAATTAGCTGAAGAATACAGTCCTTTCATACCAAACTAATTTAATGTTTTTAACACAATCAAGCTAATCCACTGTAATTCCTTACATTTTTTTTTTTAGATTTTTATGGTCATAGCATAGCATTTGAAAATTGCCATATTCTGATGTCTGCACATTTTCTGAAGCTCCTTAACCTGCAAATTCATTCTATATTTCAGAAAACTTACACAAAAATTTTCAGTGCAAGAAAAAAATTATATTTTAAAATTATGGACATAAGCAAAGATAATTTATTTAAATTCTGAACCCATTTCTATGTAAAGTGGGTCCGTTTTTGGAAAGCCAACAGATATGTACACAGCATTTCATAAGGTCCAAATCTGGAAATAAATTTTGAAAGACATTTTGCACGTTTCATTGAGAGAGTTTTTTTTTTTCCTTTTGTCTTTACTGTGGTAGCTAACTTAACTCTATTTATTTATTTATTTATTTTTGTTATCCCTTTGGAAACTTTACCTCAAGAATTTAAAAAAAAAAATTAGCTGGAAATACAACAAAATGCATATAATACTTGTGAATTTTAAATCAACATTTACTTCTCTTGTAGAACTTACTCTAATTAACTTAGGCAGTGAGAAATAATTGACAGTATTTTTAAGACACCTTGATAACATTTATATAATGATCTGATTTATACAAGACTTGACTACAACCTAGACCTACAATTATTTTAACCAGACCATGGATTACTGAAATCCAACAGACTCTAAATCAATGTTCTATCTAAGTTGTATGCATGTAAAACCAACACAATGATTTCTCTGAAACTGCATGACAGATTTAATTTCTTTCACACAATATAATTATAATTTCAGAAGATACCTGAACAATTATAAAGAATATTGCTCCGAGTCAGTATAAGCATCAGTACCTCTAACATCTCTAAAATCTGATACTTGTTAAAAAGAAAATATAATATTAATCCTGCATTATTAAATTTTCATATAGGGATGAGAAGCCTTGCATACTGAAAAAAATTAAACCTTGAAACAAATTAACAAACCAGAAAATAATTCAGACAGCAAAAGAGACTTTTTGTTTATATCAATAGTGATCTTTGTCTCTGCTTCTTTAACAGGAGGGCATGCTTTGGCAACCAAACTGAATGGAAGCAATGCTGATGCTTCTACAACTCTTGGAGCACCTGAAAATGCAACAGACATATATTCTTTTCATTGTAATATATAGTTTATTTAAAAAATTATATTGTCTTTCCTTTGATTTTTATTTAAATCAATTTTGTTTAGAAAATGCAAATTATTGAAGCATTTCATATAATGCACTGTGCATTAAATTAAGAAAACTAGATTAACCCTATAATTATAACAGGATTCATGCTTCTACGCTGAGTCCCTTGAAAATGCATTCTGTGCCTTTGTATCTATCAATAATTAAGGGAGATGATGGTAGACAAAGATTAGTCAGTGTCTAGTATTCATTAAGCCCATTAAAATTACCGTCAATAGGAGAATTTTAACTGATGAGATAATTTTATACACTATTTCTCTGAAATAAGACCTTATAAGTTCAATATTTTTACTTTTGAATCAAATTAAAATTTTACTGAAATCTTATGTTGAACCCTATAGGTTATAAAGGATCTAATTGGTGCGATAAATTCCACCAGCTTTCTAATCCTAGATGCAAAACTACGCCTACAGATTTTAAGACTTAATTTCAAAATAAATTTGATTAAATATTTTCAGTTACTTTCATATTAATATTTAATTTATTGTATTTAAATTTTGCATTTCATTTATTTTCTGTATGTGTTGTTTGCTCTGCCTATGAGTAAGAGAAATAAATGAAGCATTTTATTTTGAATTTTACATTAGTAATCGGTTCTAGCTAGCAAAAATCCTGGTGTTAGTGAAAAATTACTAACAACCACATGATTTTAGACATGAAAGAAACAAAAATTACAAATTAATTTAAGATTAGAATAAGCTAGAATAGTATAATTTAAAAACTAACATTTTAATTTGCATGATAATTATGTTTCATATCTCTTCATTATAGAGAAATTAAGAAGTTTTCTTCTTTTGATATTTTGAAACATATATTCACACATATTGAGATACTCAGCTAGCAATTTAAGTACCTGCAGATGGCAAAATAGTAAGAAATAATTTGTAAAATAAACATTTTATAACAGTATTTTAATATAATTCTCAGAATATATTATCAAAAATCTTAATTACAAGATTTATAGATGTTTCTTGAATACATTATTACTCAAACACTGACTTTTCACAAATTTTACATCAGATGACAGATCAAAATGATCATTATGGAGAAAAAAATCATGGGGTTGCAACAAGTCATACCATTACATTCATAAATTCAAATAATATTAAGGACATATTGTTCTCTTTACTAATAAACTTTTGCCATATATTATCAGTAACTTGCATAATTTCAAGACTTATTGCAAATTTATTCCATAAAGCAAATTATGATCATCATGACAGATATCACAGCATTTTCAGATTTGCATTTCAATTTCATCAGATTCACAACTTCTTACTATAATATGTAATACCACAGTATGGGAGCTCCATCTGATTGGATAATCCTATTTGATTACATTGCTTTTAACTGACAAAATGTCAGCATTTCAAGATCTGTCTCGTGAAATTGCTTTCTTACTGAAAAAGAACAGGTTATATGTGGGAATGTGAGGCATATATGGGTCTCACAGCCATATGTAGTGATGGTATTAACAGTGCTAACTCAGAACTGTGCCCAAGCAAAAGTTTATTTAAAAAAGAAACTAAAAAATGTTTGGGTAAATTAATAGAATAGCATTATTTTTCCTTTTCAGACACATTTCATAGAAAGGCTATTATGATCTGCTCTCTAATGAATAATTTGTAGATATTTCTAATGCATTATTATAACTTTATACTTCCACATAAAATATGTAAAGCTCTCTGAAAGAGGCCTTTTATTAGATGCACAGATTATTTTAAGCAGACCTTGGATATGTCACTCTGCAATTAAGTTCTCATGGAGGCTTAAATAAATTGAAATAAAATACTTAATAGAGATTCTGAATCAATGTTCTAAGTTGCATGCTAGTAATGCATGATTTTTCTGGATTTCCACAGAATGATTTTTCTGAAACTGCACAGGGGATTTAATTTCTCTCACACATTGGTAACTGCCCAACATCTACAAAGTATTTATGACAATTTGAATTATGCATGATGCCTAATATAATGCAATTAGAATCTCAGCAGATACCTGAACAATTAGAAAGAACATTGCTCTGAGCCAGTACAAACATCAATGCTTCTAACATGTCTCAAATTTGGTGCTTGATAAAAAGAAAATATAATATTAATTCTACATTATAAAATTTATTTAAGTACAAAATATAAAGTAATAAAATTCACAATCAATTATGGCAGCTATTATTTTAAGATGGGGCAGAGAAGTCCTACATACTGTAAAAAATTTAATGTTGAAACAAATTAACAAACCAGAAAATAATTCTGACAGCAAAAGAGATTTTTTGTTTATATCAATAGTGATCTTCGTCTCTGCTCCTTTAATGGGAGGCGCTTCTTTAATTTTTTTTTCTTTTAATTTCTTTATAAATTTATTCTGCTAGACTTCTTTACTTGCATAATCATCAATATAATGTTAAAACTTACGGTATTGAACTAAGTGACAGGGAACAATTTCAATATTTTATATTTATTTATTATTTTCAAAGGAAAATAATAAATAAATATAAGTTAATAAAATATATCTGTGTGAACTTTGGGCATCAACCTCTTAAACTTTGACTTTAATACATTTTAAATGATTACATTTTCACAAGAATAATTTTGTGCACTGTTAATTAAAAAAAAAAATTTTGAGCAAGTTCTTAAAAAGTCTAAATACAGTTATCTTTTTGCTCACTAAATTATTAAAAATACAAAAAAAAAAAAAAAAAAAAAAAAAAAAAATTATTTTAATTATCTACATGACTGATATAGCCAGAATATTATTCTTTTTGCTTCCTGGAAAACATTTGACAATTTTGGAAGTCTAATATTAAATATTAAACTTAATTACAAAAAGAATTAATATAACAATATCAAATTATAAAATACACATCAAAATTTCATACTAACATGTTTAACTACTCTATCCAATCAAAACTGAGCTGCTGCTAACTATGAAGAAAATAAAAAATGAAAATTTGCTGCTACAAAATTTCATTTTCTTCCATTTTATTTTTAAACAAAGTTTATTTTCCCCAACAAAAATATTTCTTTTTATGAGAAAAGGCAAATAAAAATAGCCTTCGACTTCTCTCCCCCTCATAAGAACTGTAAAGAATACAACTTAAATTATGAAAGAACACAGAGGTTTAAAGTAGTTTTGCTCAGTATTTTAAGTTGTTTAAGTTAAAGTATTAGATTAAAGGGGGGAAATGTTCAAGCAGCCTTTTAGCATACTATTATTTTTCGAAAGCAAATCTAGATTGTGAACATTTCAGAAAACAAACATGGAAATTGTAGATGTAAAAACTTGGTGGAGATTCAACCTCTGATAAAAGATTAACAGATGACACTCCCTCCGCCCATTTTCCCCCCTTTGCTAAACCCTTGTCCCCGACCTCTGCCACTGTTAAGCTCTGAGGACTTAGTCATCAAAACCATTATTTCTATACTTCGCAATATGATTGACTGTCCGTTTAATTTAGGGATGTTAAACTATATCCCAAATAAATTATTTCTAATTCAGTGAAGTGTGTTTTTATTCTAACTTCAGTTGCATTAACTATTTAAAAGATGGGGGAAAAAACATAAAAAATGTATAACAGTTTTAGTCACACTGAAAATACCTACATGCATTTGTGTTCACTCCTTGCTTTTTTTGTCATATATGAAACTTTGCAGGAGACATTATTTTCTAACGTCACTATTAAAGTGACCAACATTTATTGCAGGAACAATGATGATATCTTTCTTTCACAACAAATTAATACTAGTTTAGAGTTTGTACAACATTTGATATCATAAGATACATAAATGTTCAGGTTTTAGCATATTAAAAGTGTTCCCAATTGAAATTAATGATAACTGCTCACTTGGTATATGCAATTTCAGCTTACAAAAAATTTCAAAAGAAAGTTCTGCTTTTGCATATTGGAGAAAACCCCTACATTCAACTACTTAACTAGTTTTTTTGTCATTATATAAAAATGTTAATGAATTTATTACACAGTAGACACATATACTGATGTAGAGGCATTTAAATAGCCTTTATAATACTATCACTAATCAGAAACACAGGCATATACATTTATCTTATGTCACTTTCAAAGTACAGCATAAAGATTTATATTTTATATAAATGATTAAAAATAAATGCAAATATAGGATTTGGACCCTGTAAGATGTTACCTATAATCAGTCACTTAGTTCAGCTTGAACAGAAAGAATTCAAAGCAACAAAATACTGCAGCTGTAAGTCCTAGGCTGATGAGAAAAATATGGTAAAAAATGGTGTTGAAAGAAAGTTATTTATTTAAGCTTCATCTAAAATCGTGTCTCGTTAAATTTTTTATCAAAATCATGGATAAAATGACATGATTTCTAACAGTAATTTCCTGCACAAGTAAGTTTATAATTTTGATTCCTAAAAGGATCGATGAATGATAGAAAAAGTAAATGTCATATTTGGATTCAGCAGGTTAAATATATGAGACACACACATAAAAAAGTTATAGAAGAAAAGATCTTAAATGCAGAATATTATTTTTATGTTAAAGTTATATAAAAAATTACTTGTATATTTAAAAAGGGAAACTTACTTCCATACTTAGAAAAATGAAAAGAAAAGAAGGAGGCTAGCCAATATTTAACTCAACATATCAATATTGTAGAAATATTTAAAATATTAAACAAAACTAGCAATAATGATTTAGAGATTAAAAATGCAGTAGTAGTAATATATAATGATACCTCCGTACATGTCATTAATTCATCCCAGATCACTGGAATCACATCAAACTGAATTCATACCAAATGAACTTATTAATACTAATAAGAAATTAAGGAAAGCTAATTAATCCAGTTTGATGAAAATCCTATTTTTATTATTATAATATTGTTAAATATTAAAATATGAATACTCTCTGATATTTGTTTGATAATCGATTTCCTCCCCTTCAGCCTACTTAGCAGCATCTTTGTATTTTATAATCATAGCTACCATTAGTCTCAGCATATGGTATGCAATAGACAAGTCCAGGGCTGCATTTTTTTTTTTTTTTATTTAGAAAGGTAATGGGTGACAGCATTTAGGAGAGGCAAAAAGCATCTCACTGGTCTTGGCAAGTCCCAGATATGCATGCTATCTTCATATTTTTTAACAATCCCTCTTTTCACCTCCATGGTCATGTGATTCTAACTATTTTCTTTGTTGCTTGACTCTTCACATTAACTTTCTTAAAAATCAGTATTAACGAGTTTAAAAAAATTAGGCAAAAAACACAAAATTATGTGAAATTTATAGTGTGGGTTGTGTACTAAACAGTAGTAACAGGCTTACAGCCACTGGTGAGCAACCATAGCATTTTCTCAAAAGTGATAAACAAAGGCATTCTGAAAAGTGATAAACAAGGGTAGTCCACGCAATCATGATTCACTGAATTCGAGTTGCATTCAAGACAAATATTGCATACCAAACAAAAGCTTTCACATCTAAATAGGACACATATTTCAAAGCATAAGTGTGACAAAGTGCCATTGTTACTTTTATAAATATTCCTGATGAATTTTATTTAATAATATTAAACTGCAAGGTGATAAAAGTTAAAACTTCAACACTAAAAATAATGATATTATGATATTTAGGCATTATTTAGCTAAAAATTCAGTACAAAGTTCGTAATCCGGACTCATCGGAACTTCGGCGATTCTGGATTAGGGTTTTTTCGGATTATAGATCATCAATTTAAATATGGTAAGATGGCATGCAGAAATTATACTATTAAAAATATGAAACCATAATTTATGAAATAAAAAGCAATTATGATCTAAAGAGTATCAAATTTTACAAAAAAAAAAAAAAAAAAAAAAAACTTAATATTTATTTGTTTACTTTATTAAACATTTCTTTCTACCTAAAGCATAAAGCATACATGCATAATGTATGCTCATTCTCTACGTGCATGTGTAAAGTTTGTGGCTTTGAGGTCCAGATTATAGATCATTGCGGATAATGGACGTCTGGATAACGGATTTTGTACTGTATAAATAACAAATTAAAAACCCTACCATAACTATTTGTGTATGCAGCATGAGCAGTAACTTTCAAGTCTGTTGGAAGATAAGGTGAATCCAGAGCAGCAGCAATAACAGCTTGTGATCCATCCATTACAGATCCAAATACAAATACATTCTGCGAAACTTTCAAAGGAGGCTCTACATGAATCATTAGTCGTACATCATGAACAACAGTTCTACATTTCAGTTGGATCTGTAAAATAAACACAAATTTTTTAAAAGCTACTAATGAAGTAAACTGAAATTGCAAATATGTTAAAAAATATTCTGCATAAAATGTCTACATATTGATTCATTACATATGCAATTAAATTCAAAGTGATTAAATCAACATATTTCATTCATTTTACACATTAATATAAATATCATAAATTTTATGTATATGCTTCAGTCAGGCAACAATAGCTATATTCAGTTAACGGTTGGAGAGGTGGTCTTCAAACTTTGCGAACCACAGAACTCTTAAAATTATAAGATTTTTTTAGAGGGAACCCCCTACCCTTAAAAAAATATTTCTTAAAATAATGTTAGACCAATATGTATATGATAAGTGATATATATTATAGATACGTCATGTCTTAATATAAAATTAATGTAATTTACTCATAGCATTAACTCAAGCTCCAGCTGTCACCTACTGTTGCATTATATTTAGTGACTGGGATGTGCTTGCATTTTTTTAATATGAATTGTTGAGGTCTAACTCTATTGATGTTATCTGTAGTTGCATTTCATATTTTGCCTTCGTTTCTACATTTTTGTTGCCACATATATTGAGAAATACTTTTCACATAAATATGTTGTTCTAAAGGCCGTTGAAATGTTTATAGCTCTGTGAAAATTTTTTGGGTATTTTGCATGAGTCTACAATCAAAATTTTAGGAGCTGCTCTTGCTCAAATTTAGAGTTTAACACTGAGTTTGTTGATATGCCGATAAGTTGTTCTTTTCCTTAATTGGCAAGTCTTCTAGTTTATTGCAGAACTCAAACGAATTTTTTAGTTAATAAACACTAGCAAACTCGTGTGAGCACTTTATATATACAGCGTGTTTCAAAATATATGTATTTCGAATGCATATATTTATTAAACTGCATAGCATACAAATATGAAACACACATATGTACAAACCTCTCAAGCTCAGATTACAGATGTTCAATATGTCCTCCATCAGCGACACGAACAATATCACATCAATACTCAAATTCATCCCATATTTGGGCAAGCACATTCGTCGTCACTGATCTTATGACAGTACAGATCCGGTTCTTCACCTCTTCCAGGTTCTGTAGAAGTGGTGGTACATAAACGTTGTCTTTAATGAAACCCCACAGGAAGAAGTCACAGGGTGTCAAATCCGGTGACCGTGGAGGCCATCTGAGACATGCTAAGTCGCCAGCTCCTTGACGACCAATCCAACGGTTCGATAGAGTTTCATTCAGATAATCACAAACTTGGCGACACCAGTGAGGGGGTGCCCCGTATTGTTGAAAAACGAAGTAGTCTTCGTGCAGCCTCGGAAACAACCAGTTTTGTAAGCAAGATACTGCTGACCGTTAACCGTGTTTCCATCAAAGAAGAATAGGCTGTAAACAGATGATCAGGATATCGCTCAAAACACATTGAAAACACATTATCAATAGCATCAATAATCTCATTACAAAATGCCACACATTTACATTTGTCATCAGGCCGTAGAGCCTGTAACAAATGTAACTTGTATGCTCCATAACCAAACAACATCTCAAAACACATTGAGCTTGGCAAGTTTATTTTGAAGGACTACGTTGGAAACCAGTTTGGATTCGTGCAACATTTTTGTCGGGAACATGAGGGCGACTAGGACCCTTTCCTTTACATACACATCCTATACTTACAAACTGTTGATATCATCTGCAAATGTTTCAACCATTTGGAGGATCACTTTAGTACCTCAAATTGAAACGTCTTTGCACTGTAATCCCGAAATTGCACTTTGCAAACTCGAGAACACAAAATGATTTCTGCTGTGGAGTAGCCATTTTAAACATGTGACAGTTACTACGAAAAACAGAAGACAACTGACATCCAGTGGCTATTAATATAAACTAGACTATGTATTCGTTACACCAGCAGCCGAGCTGAGGTGCAGTGATCGATAGTTTGGACAAAATAACACTTTGTAATATGTATATTCTTTTTGAAACACGGTGAATATATACATATATATATATATATTTGAATATTTATTTTGAGATATTGAACCCTGGAGTTTGACACTCCTAGAGTTACATGGAACATAGTTTGAAAGCCACTGGGTTATAAATCTAGATCTTAACAGCAATATGAGAACTTTTCAGTTATCGCTTATACAATTCCTCACCTTTTCTAATTTTATAAGATAGAAAACATTCAAGTTTCATTTGGTTTTCAAAAAAGCATTAATTTAAATTATTAATAAAACTTAAGTTTTCTTGTTTGAAATTTTGCAAGATAGGAGATACCTTTACCAAGTTTTGCTTGTTATACTCAGTCAATTACATTGGTATTGAAAGAACATGGATAGAAAAATATGAATAATACAACTATATTATTTGCTGGAAGTAGACACCATCTTCTTTTCATATAGTTTCTTGCTATTTTGTTGATTTGCAGATGAATTATCGTTCATGGTCTCTTCAATCCTTTTCTTTAGTTTTGTATGATTGCAGCTTATTGACTATTGAAGGTGGCTGTCATAAGAAGTTTCACTTGATTCTATCGGAATTATAATTTCTTGGATTCTATGGGAATTATGTAATTAGTATTTCACATAAGAAAATAATAATTATAATTCCAATAGTTATGTTACCCTTATTGCTAAGATATATTCTTGACATCAGTTGAAATAAATCTGATGACACCTCAAAAATAACCACAGTTTTAAAGGATTTTGATTACTTTAAAATCACCAGCTTCGAGATATAACAACAAGACATACATATGGCCATAATGTAGCAAATAATGAATAATATAATTTTATTTTCTGTAACAATTACAATAGCATTAAGAATTTTTAAAATCTGTCTGAAGACAAAAACAAAAAATGTTAGTTCTTAAAGTCCACTTTAAATTTAAATCAAATTTTACTATGTGCAAAATTTAGAACACATTATCATTACCTTTATGGAAGATGAAGGCACAGGACCAAACGATTTGTGCTGCATATCTTCATGTTCAATATTCTTAAGGAAAAAGCAATAAATATTAATATCATGACAAAAAATAATTAACACTTAGGGTCAAAGCTTTGGTTTTAACTCAAAAACTCAAAGCACTTTGGGTCAAACCTTACTTTTGACATTTTATGTAACCATTTTAATGCTTTCATGATTACCTTAATTAATATTTTCCTTTTAAACCACTCTCTTTATTAGTACTAAATTATATAATTTGATATAGTAATAAAGCAAATTTCCACAGAAAAACCTATAACTACGACTAAAATGACTATAACCATGTGTAAAATATTTTAATTTTAGTTTTCTAATTTTAACTACTAAAAATGATATCAAGATAATAAGGAAATATAAGGAAAAAAAAAAAAAAAAAAAAAAAAAAAACAAAAAAAAAAAAAAAAAAAAAAAAAATTTATTTAAGAAAAAAAATCTTTGAAAAAAAAAGCAAAAAAAGCAAATGAGATATTATTGTCTAAAATTATATTACACACATCATATGCATATATCCCTCTCCCCCAAAAAAATGCTTAATACTTTGAATAAAATTTGGCTATGTGGTAAATAAAATAATATTATAATATATAATTTTAAATATATTAATTACTTACAGGCATACAAAATTTAAATATAAAAACTCATAACTAAATGTCAGTAAAATAAGTGATACATAAGTTTTGAAGCAGATTAAAATTTTTAAAATTGACAGACTATTTGATCGCTTCTAATCCAAGCATGAATTCCATATTAAAAAATTAAAATATCAGTTAAATCATAAGGCAGTAAGCATGGCTTTTCCATGAATATAATTTTTGGATCTTTAAGTAACAGCATATACAAGATATTCTCATTTAGAAAAAAGTTTGTAACTCATAATAGTTTTCTAGAACATTCTAAAATTTTCTATTAAGTTTAAATTGGAAAATTTTTTCTAGTTATTTCAGTCTCTAGGCATGCATTCTTTTGAGACATTCATTCACTATTTTATATCTGTTAAAAGCTCTACTATTCATAGAAACAAAGCTATATGTATCCCTAAAAAGCCTTATGTAGCTCTAATTTTTATCTCAAGCATATTTGGCAATCACTATACCTTTGGAGTAAGTGCATTCATTTGAACATGATGTCTCCTCATACCATAATATCTCCAAGAACAGAAATATTACATTCCCTGATGAAAAACATTTGCAATTTCTGAGTTTGTTCCCATATATAACACCCAAACAGAAACATAGTTTAAAATTAAATATCAGTTCCTCATGAAACATTACCAAACTTTTGCTGCTGAATCCAGGTATATCTTGATATTTGCACCAATTCAGTGGCATGCACCTCTTCTGGTGTAGCATTAGAAAGTCACACATCATAAGCATTCCTGGATAAAGGTTTTTCTCATGAAGATACCTGCATAGAATTTGCATTGATGCAGTGGAGCTAAACGCTTCAAAGACAGCTGCCTCAGAATCAAATGCTTATTATAAAGAAACATTGCACATATATCCGATTTCTGAAGGACCTGTCCAGGTCTTTGGGCAATAGTTCAGTATTTTTACACTGTTGCCAAAGATGCATTATACAGATATTAAATATACTGCCCTATACTATACATATATTCATATATAGTTTGTCTAAAAATGCTTGGACATTTGGTACCTTGATTACCCTGCTTTAAAACATTTAACAACTTTCCACTGCAAACTATGTTCCAAATGATACTTAAGAGCCACAAGAAGCATTTTCCAGTCAATTTAAAGTAAATAATTACAGTGAAATATAGCTGCAAAATCTGTTAAAAAATATTTTCTCAAAATATCAAAGATATAATTAGATGACATCATATTCTAATTTGCATATTTGGAAAGGTTTGGCTAATGTTGAATGAATTAGTATAACTAGCTTTCCAGCTGGCTTATTTCCATGAAAATCCCTTTAGCAAGTTTAACGCTTTTCCATTTATTGCTAAATTTACACACATTAAGAAAATTTTAGACATCATCATAGTTTATAAATATAACTGCATTATGCTTAACTTTTACAAACAGTTCAAGCAGTAAAGCATCAAAATAATGAGTGGCTAAATTACAGATAGAGTAGAGTATTGCATCACATATAGAACAATATGTACTGAAGACAGCTCACTATACTGATTATAAAGCTACCAATTATAAAATTAATAAAATAACTTTCAGATACTATATAACATGTAGTATATAATTGAGACACAATAACACGCCGAATAAACACTAATTCAGAAGTCAAACAACAAAAATCAGCGTTATACCTACAAAATTTTCACAGGACTAGTTTCGATGGTTTTACCGAACCATCATCTTCAGCTGCAAAAACCGCAAAATGAACAAGATAGGAAATAATGATTAGATAAGATAAGAAAGCCTGGACAAGAATAAGCAAGTGGCGCCATCTGTTGGCGAAACCAGAACTAAAACATAATTTCTCTAAAAGCCGAAGGCAAATTTGTATTGGAATTAGGATCGTTAACTAGAACAGAAAGATTTTTATGAATGTGAAATGCCTCTAGAAAATCCAGTTCTCCAATGGAAGATGTTTTTTGAATAATTTTGGCAGCAGAAAAATTGAAAGAGTGATTTTCGGACCAACAATGTTGAGCAACAGAAGACTTCTGTGTTTCCTTTTTTCTAACATATGTCTCATGTTCTTTGACGCGAACTTTTAAGGCTCTCCTAGTTTGGCCAATGTAAATTAAACCACACTGGCAAGGAATCCTATAAATACCCCAGGAATTCATATCCGGAATGGGGTCCTTGAGTATAGAAGTTGGAATTTTATTGATGGGAGAATAAACAACCCGAAAGTTAAACTTCTGCAAAATATGTGCAACTTTATAGCTAATTGATGGAAAGAAGGGAATGACAACAGAATTTTTATAATCTCCTAAAATAAGAGTGTGGCTTTTAGTGTGTTGAGATGAGAATTTTTTAACTGCTTGATTAATAATGTTGGGTGAAAAGCCCCGGTCAATAGCTATTGCTTTTAATTTAGTTCTTCATCAAGGGCTAGTTTGGAGGAGCAAACTTGAAGAGCACGGAAAACATAGGAATAAAATGAAGCTAACTTTTGTTTAGTCGGATGACATGATTTAAAGTGTGGTGGAAGGCAAACCGATGAAGGTTTACGGTAAACTGTAGTACTGAAGTTGGATGTGTTACGTGTGACCAGAATGTCGAGAAACGGAAGGGAATTAATTGCAAGTCTCAAGTTCAAAAGTGAACTGAATAGCAGGATCAATAGAATTCATTGTTGAAAGAACTTTATTTAAATCATCTTTATTTACCTTCAAACAGGGTAAAAGTATCGTCTACGTAGCGGAACCATGCCGGGAAGTTTAAAGTTTCAAACAATTTTGATTCATAATAATGCATGTAGATATCAGCCAGGATGGGACTGAGGGGGCTTCCCATGGCTAATCCCTCAGTTTGCTTGTAATATTATATTGGAAAACAAAATGTGTTTGTTTCAAAAAGAGTTGAGTGAGAGAAATTAGCTCATCAATTTCGATGCAAGAGAAATGAAATTCGCGAAGTCTGGTTTCTAGACATCTTAATGCACCCTCCACTGGGACATTGGTGAATAATGATTTTACATCAAAAGAAACCATGAGTAAATTACTAGGAGAAATGTTTTTAACCTTTTTTACAAACTCTATTGAATTTTTTATGGTGTAAATGTTATTGTCTAAGAGAGTGGAAAATCTAGAAACTAGAAACTAAATATTTAGCTAAAGGATACGAGGCAGTACCTAAAATTTGATACAATAGGGCGGAAAGGAATACCACTTTTATGAATTTTGGGAAGAGCATATAATCTGCACTGCACAATTCGCAACAGATGGGATAAGCGAATGTTTTAAGTTGCTTGAAATGACTTGCGAAGATTTGATCGCAGTTTTTATTTTGGATAAGTCAGAAGGTGAAGGATCTTTAGGGATCGGATTATATGGTCCTTCGTTTAAGAGTTTAGTGACACCATCGATGTAAGTGTTCTTATCCATGACGACTATCTGGCCACCTTTGTCAGCCTTTGAAATGATAATATCCGGGTTAGAATGAATTTCGCGCATTGTAGCTCTTTCTCTCGCAGTTAGATTTGGTTTCAAAGGTTTATTATTGAATTTCACATTATGAGCGATAAGATGCCTAATCATTTCTTTCTGTGAATCTGAAACTTTACTGAACTTGAAAGCTTTTTCGATAGGAGCCAAAATCTTTGGAATCGAGGGTTTACAGGTTTGTGAGAAGTTGAAATTTATATTTAGAATTCTCTCTTGTTCTTCTGAAAGACTAATTAGAAATATTACAACATTAGAAATATTAACTATTGGCTTGATGTTTACAATGGGAAGATTTTTTTGAACTACTTGAACTGGAAGACCGTAAAAGAAGTTTTTCGAATTTAACTGCAAGGGTGCTTTTATGAAGGTTAACTGCATTCTCCGTTCTAGACCAAGACTTTTGTTCAAGGGCAGTGAATTTTGGGATATGCTTTAGCGAGTTCCAGATGAAGCTTATAGAGTTCATGTTCAATTTTGGACAATTGTTGACGTGTATCCCTTATCACGGACCGAAGTAAGGCAAGCTTGCAATTTAACAGAATTCTTGAAACGCGACTCGAAGGTTTTTGATTAGATTTGATTTGAATAAAATTAGGGATCAATTTTTTACATTTACATTTAAGTAAAAAGTCAAGATGATTCAGGAATTTTTGCCGTTTCAGGCGTAATTTAGTGAAACGATTAACGGATGAAGGCATGATAAACAATGCAGAAAATCAAACCAAATTAACTGAGCAATAATAAAGTTATGGTGATTTCCTGTTATGTTTTACCACCAATCCTCGAATTCCATATCACAGATTATGTTCTTACTGCATTAATATAAATATTAACAAGACATAGTGCACAATAAAAATTAAGCTTTATTTCGGAACTTCGTGCACACTGCCCGACAGCCTGCCTGTTACGCTCTGCTCGC